AATTATTTATTTTTATTTTTTAAAATATCATTTATTGTACTTGTTCTTATTTTATTTTTATTTTAAAAAGATAATTACAATATATATTAAATAAAAAGTCTTATTAAAGTGGTATTTAATTAAAGATAAATATAAAATTTTAGTAATAAATCATTATATTTTTATTTTATTAAACAAAAAAAACTAATTCAATTAAAAATAAACAGAGACAATATGTAACTAGGATTTAACAAATAATTATAATTTTTCTATAAAAAATAATAATTATTTAAGCTAATAAAAAATTAATATTTAAACTTGATTTGTGGAAACTTGATTAGTTGCGTCTTTCCCAAAAAAAAAATATATATATATTAAGGAAAAAGAAAGAAAATAACTTTGCTGCTGGTATGTTTGATGAGGTAACGATCACTTCAATATATCTAGCTGTCCCATTTGAAAGCAAAATCACATGCACTTGGGAATAATAGAGGGCAGGGGTCCATATAGGAAAGTCCAGCCCTGCCTTTTTTGGGGCACCATTATAATGTTGAATTGATTTCGGCCAAGCAAGGCAGTTTCTTTGCCCAAACAAATAATGACAGGCTATAATTACAATGATAATACTTACAATCACACATGCTTTTGTGTAATGAATTGTAGTATAAACATTTCCATATATGCATTGATATGTATATATGTTTCAATCTACTGAATGGGGTGGCATTGCCTTGTTTTGCCCCATGGAGGACTATATCTATTTCTAAGTTTTAATAGAAATGAGTTTTGGGTAATACGGTAATGATTCAGCTACAATGTTGGAAAGATTAACTATCATTTATGTATATAATGCATAAAATCAGAAACGCTGGACTAATGCCGATGGCATGAATCTCAACACACATCAGAAAGCGAAAACGTATGTTCATCCACTTAAGAAATACATTCAAGATCAACATATTCATATTTCTATCTTACAAGTTTCAATATAAAGTTACAGGCAGGCAACAAGAGCTAACTGTAGGCTACAGTGCATCGATGAAGAAGATGCTCCTGAATTAAGGTTCCTTAAGAAATGGTACTGTTTCTCTGTGGTAACGTTTAATAGATTCAATAACTTTTACTGCAAAAGCCTCATCCTCTGGGTAATATGCAATAGGATCAGATAACAGAGGAAGTGGAAGATTAAGCACACCTTCAAGTGTTGCGTGAAGACAATAA